GATTCATATCAGTTGAGAAGTAAATATCTGAGTAACTACAATGTCTCAGAAAATAAACTAAACAGGCTTGTTGTTGAGTAAAATAAAATTTTCAAAGGTATGTGGATTTCATGAACGATTTCCCAAGTTTTCAACATGGGCACTGCCTGTGAGACGGCGTCATCATGTCGGTAGGTTTTGTAGGGAGTTATTTGTAAGCGTGTCACTGTCAAGGAATATGGGTATCCAGATAGGGTTATCTTATGAACTTCGCAAAAATGATTCAAGAGCCTGCTCGACCATCTCTTTTGATCCCTTTGCCCTGAACAAGAGAGCCTTCCGCTTTGAATAGTGTGTGTCATGTTCAAATTTGCATTGCAGTTTGTGCCTTTGTAAAGAATTCTTAAACAAATGCAAGCTGCACAAACTTTTTCGACTCTAACATATAAAACGTCTTTTCTTTTTCCAGTGAATGGTATTTTTATGCCTTGAAAAGAAAAACATTAAATATAGAAGTCTGAGATGTTTCTACACATGCTGTTAAAATTTGAGATCATTTGAACGAGAATTGGTCAAGTTATTAGATTACGAAATGATATCAATTTTTATGAAACACCCTGTATAGATAGGCTGATAGGTGGATAAGAGGAATGCATGCTAAATCAGTTTCAGATTTCATCAGGGAACTGTTCTGAAGTAAAAGAAATAAATTATTAGTGGTTTTCGTTGAGGGTGGTGTTAACCAGGATACCAATTATAAAATTCAAATCTAGTTACCTAATTCATGGTAAATACTAAACCTGTATCAAAATACAAGTGATACACAGGACAGGTTTCTGAATTCACTTAATCGACAAGAAGAATGACATTTTTTAAAGTCATACTGATGAAAAATTATATTTGGTTCTATAGCTGTCACAGTTCATCGCGTTCAAAAATACTTGAGCAACAATTACAATTCATGAATAATTAATAGGCAAGTTTATGAATTCAAACAACTATACAACAATATATGTTTGGATCTTAGGCATACAACAATATGTTATCTATAAAAATATATGAAGTATTAGTTGTGATGTGTATGTATATAGTGTTGGAATAAGACTAAATGTGACCTAGGGCGGGTATTAATGGGTAATAGTAACATTTGTTATTAATAAACATGTTAATTATATTTCTTTGTTTGTTTTTGCTTCTTTGCCAAAACCTCATAAATTATCAAAACGCTCGTAAAACAAGCGACTTTGAATGCCGCAAACAACATAAAGCCAGCAATTAGTGATGATAAAAGTGCAGCTTATCAAATATGTATGATTTAGAGAGGATAAAGAGGAGACAGGCATATACGAAAGGACGAAAGAAAACAAGAATGTATTTCCTTGTTATTGCCATTGTTGTAGCCTCTTCGAAGAAAAAGCACTAAACAAGATTTCAGCATTTAATGATGTGTGTCTGTTTTTAATTTAGTTTATAAATTTCTTACATTTATTTCATTTTGTTGTTTCTACTCGCGTTAATAATGAAATATTTATTATAATCACAATTTCTTTTGTTACTTTATAATTGCAACTTTTATCTGCAATATTGCTGAAGATTACATTTGCTTAAGAAGCAACTAATTCCTGATATTACCAGGCACATTCAGAAACACTTTGACATGTATACATTTTCCTCAGATAATTTTTACATAATTAATATTAATAGCATATTATATATTAAAACATTATTATTATATCTTGATATTATATAATAATTTATTTTAATCGTTGTGAGTAATTGATGAATACTTTAAGTTGATAGAAATCTGGAGATGAACTATATCAACGCGTGGCCAAATTAGTAAAGGCCCCTTTCGGTTATAGAAGCAATTTCCTTGATGAAAAGAGGATAAAAGTTGGATTTCTGTCAGAGGCACAATCTTTCATTAGTAGGAATTCTGTATCTAGATCAGTTGTTATTAATTTCACTTTCTAATATCACACACAGGAAAGGTAACTCAAATACGTGTATCCTCTAAAACTAACATCCACTACCGAGAATCGAACCCAGACCGTTACGATACAATGCAAGCGTCATACCACTGGACCAAAGGACCTCGGTGATGAAGAAGAACAATACTAGAGATGATTAATTACTATAAATGATTATTCAAATCCTCAAAATGATTTCTATCACACACACACGCGCACGCACACACACACACACACACACACACACATACACACACACACATACACATACACAGACAGACACATGGACACAGTAGATAAAGGCGTTGGTTATATCCAGTAACAAACAGGACGCAAAGAGTTGTGAGTTCAATACCTGGTTAAGGCAGTGGACAACTTGGAGAGGTGAATTAACAGGATATAACTGATAATTGACGTCCATTAGAGATGGCACGTGGGACTAGAACAGTCTATCCCAGCGAGCGAAATAAAGGGTTCAGTTCTACATTCCAACCAGCTGAAGAAGGCCGTAGCGTACAACGGCCGAAACGTTTTGATAAATATGGTAACAA